AAGTATAGCAGGCAGGAAGGCACAAAGGTCATTTTAAGAATATCTTCTGAAAATAAAAAACAGGCTTTTTTTTTTTTTTTTTATAATCATTATACATACGTTATAGTGAAGTGAATATGGGATAAACACCAGCCCCTCCTTTATTTTGATGAAATTTATTTTTTCCTTAAAGTGATGTTAAGCACATTACAATGTCTATGGGGAAAGACATAAAATAAAATAAAAGTAATTTTAAACCAGTGAACAGGAGTAACAGAAATTGTCATACTGGAAAAAGCAGAAAATTAAGTGTGGTGAATCCTGCTTTTCATTCAAAAAACCTGTTCTGATTACCAGTACAGAACATAAAGTCATGATATACGTAAAGGATTTGAGTTTTTCATTAAATTTGTGAAAGGTACAGAAGACCAGGTTTCATGTGCAGATGCAAGCATTTGATTTCAGGAGAGCAAAGAGCTATCACCTATATAATAACCTCATATATACAAAGGTCCATATTGCGTAAGGTCAAGTAGATTATAAATTCTTGCATTAATGGGTCATTTCCTTTAAATATGTACCATGATTGGAAACATTTCAACAGACACATAGTTGGGATTTTTCATACTTTTATTTTATTGTTTTTATACAACGTTTAAGATACATTTATACTGTCACTCTTACCTTCAAATGCCAAAACAGAAGGCCATAGTTTAAATGGACAAGCTATGAAACCATCAGACTTTACAATGGACAGAAATTCCTAACTTCTGCTTCCTCAGATATTAAAAATGGTTGTAAATTAACAGAGCTCAAAGAAATGACACTCGGGAAATAACATATCAGCAATCTTGGCAGGCTTAAGAGAGTTGGATCCATTTATTGCAGAACAGTTTCATAAAGATGAAGGCCTGAAGAGATCATTATATTATCTATTGTTGATCTTCTCTATCTCACAGAACATCTGAAACGTTTCATCTAGTAATTAGGCTACAGTGTTCTAATACAGAAAAAATCCTAAGCTGCTATATATGCAGCAGACCACCACAAAGGCCAAGTGGGGAACTAATTATTGGCAAGATCAGACTTCATGATCCCACTAGGCAATTCATACACTGTTACTGCATATGAATTCTTCTGCAGCACTCTCATGATCAATTTGATTTTAAGCACTTGAACAAAGCTTAGGAACCAAACATTTATGAAAGACAGTTTCCTATGTCACTTCAAACAGCTAAAACATGATTTGAACCCTGTAAAACATATACAACTCTGAGACATTTAAATCCAATTTATTTAGCTCCAAGTCAAAGAGAAATTAATGGCAGTTTATTGTCTTAAAGCATCCCATATAGAGGAATAGACATGAAGACTTATAATTGCAGGTGGGTAATCTTTAAAAGTTCAAAAATAGGAAGATGATGTTTCAGTTCTAAACTTAAAAGAAAAAAGAATTCAGATGAATTCTTAATATAAACCATAAGTGGCTATTAGAAAAACCAAACAGAGAAAGGAGGTCCTTACACTTCACTCGGGTTTGGCTTTGTTTAAAGGTAAGACCAAATGTCCAAAAAGATACAAAACACAGTAACACTCACTGAAGTAACAGGAAAGACATCGGTGACATTTTAAAATCCTTGTTACTAAAATCCACTAGCAAGACCAGAAAAAAAAAAAAAAAAAGTATGGAGAAAATAAGCAGCAGGAATATTGCATCAGTGCAAACAAAGAAATCCTCAAAAAAGCTTACACAAAAACATAGTATTTGTAGGATGACATTAGAAACTTGTTTTGTGAACTATATAACCTCTGCCGTCTCTGTGCATTCTGATGTACTTCACTGTTTCTGTTTTGGGATCCTTCTGCTTTCCAACTCACCAGGACTACTTGCTCTTGGCTGTTTTGGCTGACGTCCCAGAGAAATAACGCCCTTGAGTTGAGTCTCAGAGTTCAAGAAGGAACAGGTGCTCAAGGGAATCTTCAACCTGGATCCCTAGCATAGCCTCTGATAGTACATGACTTTTTTTCCCCAAACCGGAAAATGGAATTGAGATACAGACAGCCTGAATGAAGGGCAAGAAAGCAATCTGTTCGAGACAAGAACTTGCTTATGTTTTTGTTGGTTTTTCCCTAATGTCACAGAAGTGCCCCTGAACTTAGGTTGTTCACCTCCTAACGGGACTTACCTAGCTTTCTACTTCATATTACCCTGGGTGCCTCACAGAAGCTTTCCTGATCAAATACAGAGCTCTGATTTCACTTCCAAAGTCATGGAAGTAAAGGAATCCACATTTTAAAAAAAAACAACACAGACACACACACCATCCAACACCCCCCCAAAAAAAAACCTGAACACCTGTACGACTATATTTTACTACTACAGGACATGTTTATCCAAAACTTGAACTTAAAATATGCCTCTGAATAAGACAGACAAAACGAAGTGAAATTAGACAAAACAGCGATGATGTTCTTCCCATTTACGTAACAGATTGTCAGTCAAAGGATGATAGAGGAAACCTTACAAAATCATCACTACTTCACTACTGTCTTCATGACCTGTGAACCAAGTCCTATGAATTTTATTTTCCTTACAAATAAAAAAAAAAAAGTTTTGTTCTGCACTGAATGAAATATTTAGTGCCAAGCAAAAGAATTTTTTAAATTTTTCATCTCAGCTAAAAAACTCCGAGACCTTTTGGTTCAATCAAAACAAAGCCCTCCCTCCTCCCGAATTTCTTGGCACTGAAGCTGTATTTGATTACTGAATCAAAGGTATAAAACAAACAAACAAATAAAACCCACCACACAGGGACCATACACTTTTAATTTTAAAATAAAAGATGCTACATTTCTCATGTCATGAGCCTTTTTTCATGTACTGTTTTGACTTTTGAAATGCTAAAATCCCTTGCCTAACAAAGAGACGTTTGATTGTCGCTCAAGCTAGCAACTCGTTTTCTTCTTACATTCACGTTTCTTTTGTCTTCTTTCCTCTTTCTTCACTATTCTGCTTCTAACACCCTATTAGATTAGCATGATTTGGTTTCCACTCCCTTTTTTTACAATAAGGCTGCTTTTAATAAAAAGGAGTCAGTGTCCTACTAATCACAGACCCTTAGGACATCTTCTTCACTTTTACTCTCCCCAATTTTTACTTTTGCTTCTTCCACAATTTACAATTTCCTTTTCACAGCCACCCCTCTCATTCATCTTCTGTTTAGTTTCAAGAACTATGTACTTTCCTGAAGTACCTCTTACACCGCTGATTTTCTTCCCTTTCTCACTTTCCCTATGTCTTTTTTAAGCTTGCATTTTTGGGTCATTACTTCTTTTCCCACTATTTTCTACTTCTAGATCATTTAATCATCACTAATAAAATTAAGTATTTAAAGATATTCTCATAGCTTTAAATACTTCACTCTCCCTTTCTGTTCATTCTGGAGCCTCAAAAGAAAAAAAAAACTAAACAAATTCCCTTAGCTGTTCTTACAATTCTTCATCGCAATTCTCTCATTCAACCCCACCTGTGAACATTTATTGTAAAGCATATACTTTACAATTTACAAATACCCCAAAATCAACTGATTTAATGCATTGTATTGAGAACTTTACAAGCTGAACAGAATGCATAAGGCTATTACTTGCCTTCCCATAAACACTTTAATTTTCAAAACAGCCCATGCTAAGTCCCAACAAACTGCTAGCACAAAAGATGTTTTTAACTATACCACTCTGTCAACAAATATTTGGGTTTTTCTGTTAGAAGACACTGATGATATGCACTCCCTTTTGCTCGTTGGTGTCTCATTCTTACTTATACCATGACACGTTGCAAAAGAAAGACTCCATATACTTTGGCCAACATTCATTTTAAACCTTTAGTTTCAAGTGTTTGGAGTACATAGTGTTTTACAATAGATTACAATATTACATGTCATTTTAATCATTATGCCTTAAAAGAAACAGAATATTCATTCTAACAAACTCAGTTTAAAACCGCACCCTAACCTCTCTGATACTTAGTTTGCAATTATTAAAACATAGAGAACACTCTAAATAATATGCTGGGAACACAATGTGGCAGACAGTTGAAACTGTATCCATAGCCAATTTTGGAAAATGGGGGGGGGGGGGTGTTAAATAATTTTCTGATAATTTGAACTGGTCCAAAGATCACTTATTTGGAAAATAAAATTTAAAAAAAATAAAAAAAAAGATAAAATCAAAGGGATTACAGTTTAAAGGAAGATCACTTGCTTTTTTAATTTTGTTCTATTTTACACTTTTAAACCTTAAGAGAATGGATTAATAGTTTCTTTATTTATCCTGATAATCCTATGCAGAGTCTTAAAATACCTAAGACTGTTTTGCTTGTTTTATTGGTTTCCTCCTATTTGTCTGCATATTGAACCTTGTTACAAAATAAACGACAGGGGTTTTTAGGATGAGCTAGTTTGTTGGGTTTTTTGTTTGTGTTTAACTGTGTCTGGATAACACCAAATCTAAATAAGGTATGGCCTTAATCTCTGACTCCATTCTGCATAACAACTAACAATAAAAGAGCAACTATCTTATTTTTAAACTAAAAGCATATGAAAGATTGAAGAAGTTGTTTTACCTTCCATTTCTTCCACAGGCACCTAAATCCTCAAAAATCTTGTGTATATGCACAAGATGTCTCCTAGAAATGTTACCCTTAATTATACTACTTACAAAATTATGCATACAATTAAGCAAAAAGGAAATTAAACACAATATGAAACACTAATATAAAGGAAAAGAAACAAATCAAAAAGGCATGAAGACATTCAGAGTATACCAGGGTATACACAACTCAGTACCATGTTAACTTGGCAATGAGGCTATAACTGCAGAGGAAATAGTCTGCACATAACTTGCTTGCCCTAGCCATAAAAGACACACCCAGATTTGAAATAAAGATAATAGGTGTCTCAGCAAGATGGCATGTCACTGTTACATGAAGTTGATCTATGAAGTCATTTTCTTAGAATACTTACCACTAAATCCCAGTTATTTTGTTCAAGCAACGTTATAGCTTCATCGATATTTTCAATACCAGTACATGCCTAAAAAGAAAAAGAAGCAGTAAACAGAATTAAAAGCATTGATCAGAGTGTTAATACTTATAATTTAATTAATTTTAGGAGAATGACAGGAAAGGTATAGGTCTTTCATTTCTGTTAGGAAAGGATAATCCAGAAATCAGATTTCAAGTTTTAAACATTAAACATTTGGATATAACTCCCTGTTCCACCAGAGGACTCTTGTGCAACCTTGAGGAAGCCACCTAGGGAAGCAAGACAAAGTAGTTATTTCTAAAATTAGGACAATAGTGCTGTCCCATAAAGGTGTTTTGAGAATTCTACATTCAAAACTATGAAACACTTATACTACCTTAAAAGGGAGCACAAAAATACTTAAGGCTTAAAATGATGTTTAAGACAGCTGAAATATTCCATCTAAAGCCAGAAATACATAATAAACCCTACTGCCTCCACCATCATCTTATACCCCTACTCACTCTCAGTGATGCAGTGTAAGAATAAAAGAAGGTGGCATGTATGAATTTTTGATCAAAGTGCCAACTTACTACTGCATGTACAAATGAGTACCCCTTGTGAAACTATTTAAAATTAAGACTATACAATGAAAAATTTACAATGTTTTCCTTTCAAACAAAATGCTTGCATGTTGTTCTAGCCCTACACTCTGGCTTTACCTAGTTCAAGCAATCTAATACAATGGCATTTTTAAAGTAGTGATAACATCCCCAAAAAATGGTATTGTAAATTTAGCTTAATTCCAAATACAAGAGAGCACCTTTACCCAGCGAAAACCTTAATGCAGTATCCTCCTTTCTTTTTTTGATACCTATACCTTTTCAACTATTCAACTTCAGCAGGCAGAGCATTGCTATTCATTGCCACATATTTGCTACCGTTCACACCAAAGGATATCAGATATATTTCACCAGAAGGGAAAAATGGAAACAGTTAAGTTTCTTTCCGGAATTTATCTTTCATCCTAATCAAAGCTATGCTCTATATTCAAGCACACAAGAGGAGTTCAGACTTTTACAAGATCTGAAACATGATCATGTTCCTTCTGCTCTACCACAGTTATATAAAAAGAAGTTTATATAACTTTTATATAAAACTACATTAAAAAAATCCAACCTTTTAACAGTAATAATACAGAGTTAGATTGCAGCAGCAAACAGATCAGTTTTCTTGATTCCAAAGATATATAGTCCTGTTTTTCCTTTATGCAATAACACAAAAAGGGGACTAGGCACAAAACCAGACACTTTTTTTCTCCCAAGACATAAAAAGCCATCAGTTCATACATTTTCCATGCTCTGACTTTTCTCCCAATTTACAACAATGAAGACATAAAAAGTAGAAAAGAAATCACAGAGAAATTCAAAGCCAATTCTCTTTTCCCAAATTCAATGCTGAAGAGTTCCACACATATGAGGCATTACATGCAGTATGTCTACACAAAATGGACCAGTCTGGAGGACCGCGAGGATCACAAGAAGACATTTTAGAGATTTTTTTGCCTGCAGAGGGGAGGCAGCAGTTTCTATTGATCTGCAATGCTCTCAAGGCCAGACTGATTCTCTCTGAAACAAGACAAAATTTCTTCCATTGCTCACAGCATGCTGTGTTAATACTGAATTTCACCCACTCTTCATCAGGAATGCCAAAAAAATTTTTAAAAATACAGTTTTGCTCTTCAGAAGCATCATTTTGCCTTCTCTTCCATTACTTCCTGCAGTTACTTCTGAAGTTAAAAATGAGACGCTAACACATTCTATAGCAAATGAGAAGGTTATATACACTTACACCAGGCAAGCTTGAGGAGTGCAGGGCTTGAGCTTGTCATTTCTGAAATCACAGGAGGGTTCATACTACAATAAACCTGCCACTGAAATTGATGTCAATAGCTCTGCTGCAAAGTAGTCTTACTTTGAGAAAAAGTTTTGCAGAAGTGACAGCCTGAGGTTCGGTTTACAGTCAAGTGAAATACACTTAAAAATCTGGCCATTACAGAAATAAAGAGTTACTATTTCTCATTTATCAGCCCTGCAAACTCTGTGTGACCTAAGAACTAAGTAGTGTTCCAACCTACAATAAGAACCTGACCAACAATGTGTTGTTTTCAGCCCTGGACTGTGCAGATGAAGTTGAGGAGAGGGTACTTAGAATTCAGGGCTCAAATACCAGTTTTAGTTGCCCCCTCTTCATATCATCCCTGCAGCTCAGCTGACTTGCAACTGTCCATATGCACACTCTTAGCCCATACTAACAGCAAATTGATTCAGCTCATTTTGGCATATTTTTATTTCAAGATCATAGAATCACAGAATATCTCAAGTTGGAAGGGACGCATAAGGATCATCAAGTCAAACTCCCTGCTCCTTGCAGGACTACCTAAAGCTAAACCATATGACTAAGAGCATCATCCAGATGCTCCTTGAACTCTTTTCTAAAAGAGCAGAATGGAATCATTAAGTTTGGAAAAGACCTCCCAGATCATCAAGTCCAACCGTCAACCCAACCATGCCCACTAAACCATGTCCTGAAGTGCCTTGTCTACGCGTTTCTTGAACACCTCCAGGGATGGTGACTCAACCACCTCCCTGAGCAGCCTGTTCCAAGGCCTGACAACCCTTTCAGTAAACTGAAATCCAGTTTTAGATAAACTAAACAAAATTAGCTTACCCTTCTGCCAGAGCACACAGTGAAAGTAGTTACCTCATCACAGCAGAGGCGGAGTAATTAAGCAACTAATTCACTTGTATGCCTGCATCCTTCCTAAATCATCTTGTTAGTGATTTACAATCTAAAATAGAACCTTGCTCTTGTTCTCTTAGCAATGCAGTCTTTGGGTAACAGGAATGGGCAGGTGTAAACACTAACTAAAAATCAAAACCATCAGAATTCTCAATACCCAAGAAAAGCAGTTTTGTTGAAAACCCTTGGAGCGTTTTTACAATCACTTTAAATGTTTGATTTTGAGGAGTTCTAAAACTAAGATTTCACTTTCCAGATGGACTGTTTTTGCTAGTTGTCAATAAAACAGAAAACAAACATTTCTGAATGCCAACAGTGAATAAGTGACTGCTACTTATCAATGTAACCACAAAATAGACATTCCAAGATCTTCTTCAACACCCTGTTAATGTCACACTTGCAGCAAACTAAGACTCTTCAGAATAGTATTTCAATATTCAGACACTACACACTACCGCATACAAATCCCTGCCCCAAGTCATAATCCATCAGTAAGACCAAGAAAAAAACCAAAACAAAACCCAACCAAAAATTAACATTAGCTTTGTTTTAACTGCGTCATGTCATGGAAGGTAAATTCAAGAAAATCATCTGGTTTGCATGTCTTTAATTTTCCCTGAGAAATTAAGCACACAAGACAGGTAGTCCCTCACTGGCAAGCATGACGTGACATCAAGGGCTCTGTAGCAGCAGATTAGTCCCAGAACAACCTGGTACTGCTTCTGCCCTTGTTTTCTGTAGGGAAACACACACAGGAAACCAGCAGGTTCTGTGAGCACCAAAATTAACAAAGTCTGGTTCCTTGTGGGTTTGTCTCTCATCCCTAATTGCAAGGGATGATTTAAGCTTGTCCTATGGCTGGAGTATTTATAAGAGCTTCTTTTGATGGACTTCTTTCCGTGTTACCTGGCTGTATTTTCATGAAATTTGGAATAATTTAATTGGTATGAGCCCAGGGGACACTTGGGTACCATAAGGCTATATGCCTTACTTATCTAGGAAGGTAGACTAAAAGTCACGGGGTTTACTTACAATACATAAAAATGAGCAAAAAATCTTTATGTTTTTCATTCTACCCAAGCAAGAAACAAACAAAAAAAAATTGACTAGGAAAAAAAATCATGTTAAATTTGCACAGAAACAGAAGGAAAAAAAAACTTCAAAATATAGCAAAGTAGATGAGCTCCAAAGACGCAAAAACACATCTTTGTTGCTAAGCAAGTAAAGTGATACCCATTGAGGAGAATTTTTTTTTTTTATTCACAGGTTTTATTCAGCTTTATTTTCATGAGAGACCTACTTAATAAAAGGCATTAAATATTTTAGAAGAAAATTCCTACCAGAATACTACCAACTCTTGATTCAATCAACAACCAGCACATCCTCTAAGTCATCAAATTGAAAGAAACAAACCACCACAGACAAGGTAAAACCTTCAAGCCTTGCTGATTTGTAAACCTTTACACGTCAAAAAGAAACTGAAGAATTTTTCTGAAGGACAAAGGGGAAGAAATGGTAGAACAAGTTCCTTCTCCTCCTCCTCTCTGCATTTCCTCTAAATCTAGGATAGCATTTTTGCCCTTCACAGCAGCTCCAGTGACTGTGCAGTCCCTTCTGTGTTTTTTCAGACCACACAAGAGGAAAATGAATGTGAAGATGAGAAAACTATTGCTTTGCACTGAATGAATAAAATCAGATTCTGAAGATTAAAAGTTACTGAATGTTAAAACCACTTTCTTAGCATCCTGCTTTTTCAGGCCAGGTTAGGTGTTTCCACCAGGCAGATTTAGATTTGCATATAATAAAATTTCAGAGCACTTCTCCGAACCTTTTTCAGGTAGCTTCGCAGATTAACCATCACCTTAGTGGTGGAGAGCTTACCCTTGGAAAGATTCACAGCTAACCGTTAGGGGTCCTATTTAACTGGCACAGTAATCTTAATCACTGTTACATAAAAGGAGCAAAGTAGCCACTGAGGAAAAATTCACTAGGAGAAAAATCGGAGGGCTGACAGACTTCAAGGCATTCAAGACAAACCTAGGAGGTGCTTCCAGAAAGCTATAATGCAGGATGACAGACTTGCTCTTCTAAATCCCTTGCAGGGTGGTCTGACCCCAGCAGCCGTAACAGCTGGATCTGGGTTTTGAGACCCTCTGTGACCCCCCACCTCAACAGCGCAGGCTTTAGCCTACCTCCACATCACAGGAAAGCAGCTGACTTCCCCATCTGGCAGCAGCTGCTGTTGAAAATGCTCCTCCGGCACCTGC